ATTCGCAACCCGCGCGTATTCCACTTTTCCAATTCCCTTATGTTGCGACAACCACCTCTCATTTCAGAATATAACGATTTCCGACAAGAATGGAGACCCCAGTCTCGCTCCTTTTTCGTCCGCCAGGCTCCCAAAAACTCAATTATTAGGGCTAACCAAGCCCTAAACTCTTCTGCGTCATGCTCTGATCAAGGAGTACTTCATCAAAACAACCTCTTGCTGACTAGTGAGTACTACGGCTCCCCGTAGCATCACCACACCCTCTCTCTGACTAGTAAGTACTACGGCTCCCCGTAGCATCACAACACCCTCTCTCTGACTAGTGAGTACTACGGCTACCCGTAGCATCATAACTCATGCTCTCTCACTAGTGAGTACTACGACTCCTCGTAGCATCACAACACCCCCCCTCTCTGACTAGTGAGTACTACGGCTAACCGTAGCATCACCACAACCTCTCACTGATTAGTGAGTACTACGGCTCCCCGTAGCATCACCACAACCTCTCTGCACTGACTCATTGAAACTGCAGCTCCCCGCAGTCTTACTGCACTTACTCTTACCACTCACAATCTCATCCTCAGGTTGACACCACCCTGCGATCATTAACTCATGCTCTGTGGCCCAGCATAGATAGGTACACACACACCCATCCGGCTAATCATCACTACTTCGGGCGACCACCGTCGCGACAAAACCTCTTTTTCTCGCTGCAATTCACATTTTCAAATAAATCCATTTGATGTCAATTAGCTGAAGGGCCCCCACCGGAATCATAGACACTTGATACACCCCTCGACATCTCAAACTCAAACTCAAAATAATCCGAGATTTTAGGACATTAAACTCGGATACCCCGGAATACCATCACAACGCCTCGCAGTGTCTTGACTCTACCACTGATCTCACACTCATGGCATCATACTCAGATACCGCATTGCTTCCTCGGAACCTCGCAACCGGTCTTTCTCTCGTGCCACTTGTAACCCCGGAATACTACATCCCCCAATTTAAAACACGGAGAAATTGCCAACGACTCAGGACACGAAGTTGACAATCCGAAACTTCCTTCTCTATTGCTCAAAACCCATGCAAGAATACTCATAACGACCATGAAGTTGGTTGCCCAATCAACTTTTTCCCTTCCCATACTGCATATGATAGCCCATACTCTGCACCAGAAATTCTCAACCGCCGAACTATCCTCACAAGCCAACCACCTCGAATTCACCATTTTAACCTTGAAGGATTCCTAACCACCATAAGGTCTCCGACCAACGACCACTTGCCGTGGAGACACTCATCCTTTCTCAAACACGTGCCACATGCACTATTTCACTCTTCACCTCTCCTTGACCACCAAAAACCCTGGTCTTAGGAATCCGTACCGCAGACCTCTCTATCCAGTTCTCTAACCGCTCTGAACAAATCTCGGATCTCCTCAAAAGTACTCGGTTCTCCCCCACTCAGGGTTCGAACCATCACTAATTGATTCGCCAACAATCTAACCCACAGATTGTTTTTACCAATAACATCGCACCTACTCTCGGAAGGTGATACGCAATGCTCGATGATCTCCCCGATGGAGGTCAAGCAATTCCAAATACCCTGAATCTCCGATGAAATCCTCAGAAACTTCTCATCATGACTACCTCTAGTCCTTCAGAATCTCGTACCATCCCACTACCGGACATCTCAACTGTCCAGTCGTAGCTCTGACTCTCAGTCTGAAAATAACGAACTATCATATTCCTCATCCTCGACTCTTCAACCAACGTTTCATCACGTGGGTTGTAATAAGAGTGGAGTCCTCATTACCACACTCGATACTCATCATAGACAATAAGAGCCACCGCCCCAATATCCTCTTCTTGATCGTTTGCTGCTGCAGCTAATACATGCTCAAATAGGGTGTATCCTTGTCCTTAATCATCTCAGTCCCCGCTGACAACCTGCTCATGCTCTAACATTACCTCTCGGCAGACATACTGCCCAAATACTCTGATGAAAGATCGTAACCAAAGCTACCCCACAGGGCTCACCCCCAATCTTGGAACCGAAAATCTCAACACCTCTCCTGTTCCCCACAGGAACAGAAATAACACCGCTTAGGTCACAGAAAATAATGAGATCTAACCAAAATAATGAGAAAGGTGCAGACTTTTACCTTCTTCAGAAGCTCTGGACGATCTATCACTGGATCCAACTTTCCCCCTCTTGATCCTTGCTTGATCTCCTTCTCTTCTTCTCAAATGATGCACTAAAAATCCCAAGATAGCTTCTCTCTCACTTTCTAGCTCAAATGACCTTTAGGGTTTGCTTCCAGGGAAAGGGTGGCCGCAAATGAGGCTATAAGTGCCTTTAAATAGGTCCCAAACCCCGGAAATTAGGGTTTCTCTAATCAGCGCCTACTCGGAGAGTCCCTCCTCGGACTCGTCGAGTCCACTCATTAAGTCCACGGGAAAAACCCGGCTTGACTCGGCGAGTTGGACCCTCAACTCGTCGAGTCTCTTCTTTAATCACAAGATCAAACTACACGATAATATCCCTGAAAATCCGGATGTTACAAAGTGGCTAGGGTGAAGGGATGTTTACCTTGATATGTGTGATGTGGATAAGGATGGACCAATGAGAAATTGACACATAAGTGCAAGTGGGCACACTTGACCCACTTGTAACATAAAATATCCTAAGCCCTTTTCCTTAATGTAAAATATTGATTATAATTAATAAATCCCTGGGATGTGATTAAAATATGAATATATAGGGTCTTATATGTCAAAATATGAGTTTGGGTGAAAATCCCGCGTTAAAATCACGAAAAACGGGCTCAAAACGCTAAAAGTATTGAAAACCGGGTAAAAGTTACGAATATCCGAAGTTTAGGGTCGGAGGTTCGGTCCTAGCCATTAGAACCGAGAGTAGATGGGAACCGAGAGGAGAGAAGGAAGGGACCGAAGGGAGGCTCGGGTCCGAAGGGTAGGTCTCGGTCCGAAAGTGCATGTTCGCTTCTTGACAGTTCGGTCCTCAGGAGGCTCTGATGCGAAATAGACCGAACCCGAATGTGACTTTGGTCCTTTAAGAAGCTTCGGCTCTAAGAGGGCAGTTCGGTTCTAAGAGGTTCCCTCCAAGAGGGTTCGGTTCATATAGTGGTTTCTGTCCTATATGGCTATTTTTCGAGAAATCTTTCCGTTTTGCGTGATTTTTGACCAAGTTAAGGGTTGGGATGACCCGGATGACTATAAAAAGTTTGAGAGAGATTTTGGGAGAGATTTCACATACTTGGAGAGATTTCACATATTTGGAGAGATTTGGGAGAGATTTAATCTTAGCCATTATTATCGCATAATCTCGTAATGCAAGGTTCGTGAACCCCGTTATACTTCGCTTATGATTGTTTTAAGTCCCCGATAGGGTCCTTAGTCGTGTTTTGAAGTGTTTAACTCCTTTTTTAGGGTTTTACATTGCTATTCACATAGAATATCTGAAACACTTGAATTCTTGGCGTGCCAACACACATTTTTACAAAATATCTTTTCTTATACAAGTATTGGTTAAGCTTGACCGGTTTGACATTGTTGACTTTGACTTGAATTTGACGGTTGTCATAGTAGTGAGGCGTAGAAGCGGTGGTGATGCGATGTCGGAGGTGGAAGCAGTGAGCGGCGATGGCGGTTTTGTGGTGGTGTTTGGTTTGGGAGAGAATATGAAAGAAAAGAGAGTGACAAAATTGGGAGGAAAATATTTGTTTAGACCCTGCTCTCTAACACCTACAAAGTAAAAGGACGTGTATATGAAATTGGGGAAACATCGATTCTTTTTGGAGAGGTGAATAAGAACCGTGAATTTAATTTCTTTAGTGGCACAAAACAAATCAATAAAATCATCCCATACACCTTTAGCGGTATATAAAAATATATATGACACAAAATATAGAGTTTTTAGTGGCATTTTAATGCTATTATGCCATTATTAAATATTAATATTAGTGACATAAGTTGTTAAATTCCATTAAATCTATTAATTTTATAGTGGCATATAAAATATGCCACTGAAAACATACTATTGTGGCATAAAAAAGATATGCCATTAAAAATGTGTGCCACTAAATGTCATGTTGTTATTTGTAGGGGTTGCTAGAAGCAGTAAAAGTAAAAGAAAGGTGTTCAGAAGCTGAACACAGACAATGTGCCAGAGACATTGTGGCTAATTTTGCTAAAAGGTTTACTGGTCAACATTTCAGGAGCTTTTTTGGAGGGCTGTCTGTCACACCCCCAAACCGGAACGGCGAAAACTTCGGGGGTGGAGGATGTCATGTACAGTATCACAACAATTGTATAATAGTAATCAAAGAAAACACAACCATTACATTGATAAGATATAGTATTTACATCTGTTCATAACATAGCTTGTATGACATCAAAAAGTATAGCAAAAGTATAAAAGACGCGACTCTAAAAGGCTCCGTCTTCTCAAAATCCTACGGGTGTACCTGTCTACTGATTCCCTGAGAATACAAGTGATTTTGAAAGTTTCAAGATTAAAGTTGGTGAGTTCATAAGCATTTGTATTTGGAAAGTATGTTCTTTGTTCCTTGAAAACCTTAGTTTGTTCTTCCAGAAAATCCTATATTTTATGTTGTAATGAAATGTATGTTCTGTTGATTCGTACTTATAAAAGTGATGTATTACTGTTGTGTATGTATGCAACCCTGTTTGTATGTATGCCCCTAGTTAAAAGTTCTTTCGGAAAAGTATGTTTTGTACTAAAAAGTAGTAAATTGTACTTATATTTAGTGATCCTGGTTGCACTTGTACTTAGATTGTAAATTATATATGTGTACTTGGTGCTAGAAAATAGTGAATTTCAGTAGTGCCAATAGTAGTGTTTATACTGTAGTAGTATCTATAGTATCCATAGTGTTTGTAATAGTGCCTGGAATCCACCAGAAGTAGTGTAAAATAGTGTACTGTAGTTTGATTAATTATCAAAACATTTGTATGAGTGATTTCCCAAAATGTAAGTGTATTGTACTAGGAAAGTAGTGTAGAGAAGATCTAATTTTAAAAATAAAATATGTGAAGTGGTGTTAATCCCGTAAACCTTGTTTATACTATTGTGAGTTTCATATAACCATGCTAATATGACCTAGTGGCCTCTACGACGTTCTTCAGGCATCGGTATTTTATGACATTTGTCACCCTCAGGCATGCCTGCCTAGTTGTAGCTAACAGTTTGGGTGTGGGATTGTCAGTCCCGTATAGATCTATACACAAACCTCACGCTCTCCATCTGGGAGACTTTGGTTATAATTTATAGGACTTGAACCTGTACCATGGTGGGTACCCGAAGTAGTGCCTCACAACCATGTATTAACTAGTTTACATGTAGTGTTATAGTGTTCTCTTGTAATTGAAACTGTATGTATTACTTTGTAGTGTAAAATAATTATACTTAAATAATTATTTTAGTAGTGTATCCTTGTAGTAGTAAAATAGAGTAGTGTTCCATAAACTATACCTATTATAGCTTAAATGTATGTCCGGTATGCAATGAAAGTCTTAGTAATTTAACAGTTTGAATAACACGATAAAATGATGAGATAGGTACCCTTTTGCTCGACATGTTACAAAAGGGTTTAAACTTTATTTAAATAAGATTATATGCATATATGCAGAAGGCATATATATAAAGATGTACTTTGGGAAATAAAAGTATAAAACATTTGCAGTAGTTTGAAGTACAATTTAAAATAGTTTGAATCAGTTGAAACGACTTGATATGATTTAAAGCTGTTTGAAATCTTTTGAAAGTTAACCCAAAATTTATGTTGTGTTTTACTTGTATTCCCCTCCTAAAACATTGGAAAAATAGTGAAAACGTAGGGGTATGAACTCACAGATAGTGTGTGCTTGCAGCTGGATAGCGGACTGAAAAGATGACCCTCGAGTTGGTGTACGCGGAACTAACGGTATCCTAATAGTATTTAAACACATAATTGTATTTAAATTAGTGAAACCATTAATTAAAGTGTTAGAAAAACACCTATTTGTGTGTTAGGAATAGTTACCGAAAAAGGTGCAAGTGTTAAAGGGGTTTTCGGTTCCAAGGAGTTCTCGGCCGAAAATGGTTCTCGGCCGAACACGGTTTTTGGTCCTGGGCTGTTTTCGGTGACTTGAAGATATGAAGGTTGTTCTTGGTGTTCTTGGTGAAAATATGAAGATTTGAAGGTTTTCTCTTGAAGGTTTGAATGTTCTTGGATGATCATGGGGAGCAAAATGAGAGTGTTTTCGGGTGTGAATGGTGAGAAATGATCAAGTTTTCGAAGGAAAAATATATATACGGTTTGGTTTTCGGCCGAAATCTATTTTCGGCCAGAAGGTTTTCGGCCGAAAACGGGTTGTTGAACGAGTTTCGCTATTTCGAGGGAAAAATCTTGGGTTTTTCGAGTGTTTTTGGTTCTGAAAACATATATAAATATTATCTATATATAATAAATTATTTTCTAACCCTTACGAACTTAACGGAATGAAACAAAACTTGAAATTTTATTTATCGGTTTTGACTTTTGTTGACTAGAAAGTATCGGGTTGTCACATTGTCAAAGCTAGTACTGAACACAAGTTCAAACATGTAATGGAAAAGATCAAATCTATTGATACTCAAGCATATGAATACCTTATAGATAGAGATCCTACTACCTGGTCTAAGGCATTTTTTAAAGAGAGAAGAGATTGTGATGCAGTTGAGAATGGAGTGAGTGAGAGTTTCAATTATGCTATTAGGCATGCTAGAAGGAAACCAATCATCACTATGCTAGAGGAGATTAGGATATTTGTGATGGAGAGGATATACAGTCAAAGAGTAGAAGGAAATGAATGGGATTTGACTATCTGTCCAAGTATTAGAAGGCTTATACAAGATTTGAAGGTTAAACAGAGGTAACATGTAGTTTTACAATTCAACAAATGGTTTTTATTAGTTTGTGTTATTAGTTTTTAATTTGTAGTCATTATTGCCTTATACAGATTGTGGGGGGTTACTCATTGTGGTTATCAAAAGTATGAAGTTAAGTTCAACAATGCAGCATATGGAATGGATCTAATTGCAAAGACTTGTGCATGTAGAATATGACAACTTACAGGGATACTATGCTTACATGGAGTAGCTGCAATCTTTTCCCTAAATCAAGATGCAGAAACATATGTGTCCCAATCATACAGTAAAGAGGCTTATCTAAAATGCTACAATTATAGCATTAACCCTCTCAATGGTAGTGATATGTGGCCAGAAGTTCCTTATCAAAAGCCTTTGCCTCCCAAAAGAAGAAGATTACCTGGTAGGCCATCAGTGAAAAGGAAGAGGGATGCAGTGGAAAGAGAGTTGAGTGGCCTAGTTAGACATTTTGTGACAAGAAGGGGAGCCCTGATAAGGTGTAGCATTTACAAGGAACCAGACCATAACAAGAAAAAGTGTCCATTTAAGCAACAAACAAATACATCAGGTAAATGTCCCAATCATCTGAACATAATACATCATTTTAATAAGTAATTGAGACTTCAATTTTTTTTACAGCAAGTTCCTCCAGGGGTAGTAGAGCAGGACCAAGTCAACCACCACCAGCATCAGCAAGTCAACCACCTCAACCACCACCAGCAGCAGCAGCCCAACCACCTCCACCACCACCACCACCAGCTGCAAGGCCTGTCCCAAGAAGGGCCCCAATTGGTAGAAGTGGACGAAGGCAATATTCTGAAAGGATTGTCAAAATGGCATTGAAGAGAAAGATATCTGGGGTTGGGAGCAGTGCAGAGAACCCTGCAGTCATTGATTAAGTTAGTGTGTAGGTAGTGGGTGGGCACATCTTTTGTTATCAAGTTGTGATGTAAAAACAAAGTACTATGTTTTATTTATGCTTTTCTTTTGGGTATCTGAGCACATGGTGGCCCTTCTTTTGTGGTCCCTAGTAGGAATCTTTTGTCCTATCTTTTGTGTATGCAAACAACTTTCCATTTATTTAATTTCAAATATTAATGGAGTATTTCTTGTTATTTGTATGCATTGTTGTCTCAGTGATTCCATTCCAGTCAAAATTACTTTTATGTATTCATTACAGTCAAAGAATGGAATCATATATTGTTAGCTTAGCTAATATGACAGTTAATCAGTTTTAATTACCAAGGGTAGTTTCGTCATTTTCTACTTTCTAGTCTGTTCCAAGTTAGTTAGACGTCTTGATGTGTAATGTTATTAATTGTACATATATGTAATAGATCAATAGTTGTTCAGAAGAGAAATAAGAAGAAGTTTCTTTTCAATCATCCTTTTCTCTCAAATCAATCTTTTGAACATGAACATATACTTCTTTGTGATTCCATTCCAAAATTACTACATTGTGATTCCAGTCAAAATTACTTCTTTCTAATTCCAGTCAAAATTACTTCTTTGTGATTCCATTCCAGTCAAAATTACTAGTTTGTGATTCCATTCCAGTCAAAATTACTTCATTCCATTCCAACAAGAAGTTAAGATAATGTCTTCATTCCATTCAAACAACATCTTTCAATACATCATTTCATCATATACACGATGATCAAAAAAAGAAATCCTATGGAAAACTTATATATTTTTTCCTTCATTGCAATGGCATCAGAGTACTTTTTCTTCTTCATTTGTTCCATGTCTTCCTTCACCTTCTCTACTTCGGTCTTCAATGCTACTAATTCGGCTTTCATTCCCTCCACCACTTCCAATAGGGGCATTTGTACAAGTTCTACATCCAACCATTTCCAATATTTGCATTTCCCCTTCAACACAAATAACTCATAATGAGATTTTAAATTAGGAAAAAAGAATCAGAAAAGGGGGAAGATTCAAGTGAAATAGCTTACCTCATTGCACACCATGAAATGCCTCCCTGGATTCTTTGGTGTTGTTGACGTTAGAATACGTGCAGGGAACTCACAATCACAAGTTTTTGGATCGTTCATTGTTGATTTATTGCTTGATCGATTGAGGGACGATGAGAAACTGTAGGAGGAAGCCATCGGGGTATTAGGGCACAATAAAGGAACCACATACACCCCTCTTTTAATAACATTAGCCCTACATGCCACGTAGGATCAAACTGACACGTAGGATCGATCAATCCATTGCAACCGGCAAAAAGCAGTCGCAGGGGGAAAATTTACACGAATCAACAAGTTAAATGGCTATTAGAGCACGAAAAAAAAGTTTAGTGACCAAATGTGACCAATAGCAAAAGTATGTTACCCTCTCAAGTCATTATCCCTAAAAATAAAATAGGAGGATTATAGCGTTTAATATTAATCAGTAAATAGATAAAAAGCTTTTTTGTTTTTATCTCTATTAAGTTACTATATCTTTTAAATATTTTATAGTGATTCAATATTTAAAAGTTACATGCAAAAACAAATGAGCATGAGGTTGTGGGCTCGAGTGAAGTTTTCTAAAATATCACGAGAATCATCAAGTTTTCTAACTTTTATTTGAAAAACCGTTGGTTTTTTTTCCAGAAAAAAAAAAAAATATATATATATATATATATATATATATATATATATATATATATATATATATATATATATATATATATATATATATAGGGTTAGATTATTTTGTTTCTTATATCTATTTGTACCCGTAAGCACAATTCTGGACCAATAGATGAATAAAAGCAATGATCATGATATGAGGGTCTACGATATTACAATAGGCTAACATATATCATATAATCACTTAAATTTAATTAAAATGATATTTTAGACAATTAACTATATTTAAAAAAAGAAATTTTCGAAATTACAGGGATAATTCTGATTTTTTTTTTAAAAAATTAATTCAATTTCAGTTCTAATTTAATTTGTAATCATAACCGATTATAACTTATTTTATTCTGTCAGAATGCGATTCTATTAGAATGAAATTTTGTTATAATGACATTCTGTTAAAATAACAGTTTATGACATCTTTTAAGAATACATAAATAAGAAGAAAACATGAATAAGTACATTATGAAACAATATACAAAATCGATTCTTGAACTAGTAATATATCAAATAATTATATTCTATGATTGTCATACAAAAAGAACATTCTTGAATAATAACTACATTATGAAAGAATAACAAGTGTAATTCTTAAAAAAACAACAACATTCTTAAACTGTGAGTATGATCAATCTTCGATTCATTCTTCACGTCATTCCTATAAGGTCTTCAAGCCATTCCTATCACAAATGCAACAAAAACATCAAAATCCAACAAAAAACACTTATTCCTTCTGAAAGAATAATGTTGCTAAGATTCATTTTATACATTCTGACGGAATACATTCTACTATAAGACACTCTTGTTCTCCATATTTTCTTTCTTTTCCACATGAATGACAAACTCTTCAAAACCTAAAAAGAAAAAAAAACCATTAAAATCTAAGAAAAACACTAATCTATTCTAAAATAATATTATTGATAAGATTTGTTTTATAAATTTTGGCAGAATACATAAACTACATTCTGCTAGAATACAAACATTCTAAAAGAATAGATTTATATAAATAAATTCTGACAGAATACACACAATTTCATTCACACCTCATACTCAACTTTCACATCATAATAGACTAATTTCTTCTAAAAAAACAACACCAATTGGGTTGTTAATACACTTTGCAAGAGTTCAGATTCCATTTCCTAAAACAGTGCACATATTGAATATGGAGTTTAGTATGCGGAGTTCTCATGAAAATGTAAAATGGAGTATTAAAGAATTATTCCACTAACTTGCAAACTTGAATCTCATATTTATCAAAATTTGCTAATATATATAATAACTTAAATGATATTGTGCTAATCGCAGTAGCATTTTTCCACTGACTTGCAAATCTTGAATCCCCTGCCTGGTTGAATTTTTCAAAAATCCAACAATCAATATTCATATAAAATAATCGATCAAATACTCTGATATAATTTAGAATTACAAACTAAATTAAATAAACCTAACTAACCTTCATAAAAACGCCGACAAATTATAAATTTAACAAAAAAAATTGAAATTGAACAAAACCTATATAATCATAAATCTTCACAACACACCAAAATTGAATTCCAAAAAAAGGTGAAACATGAAATTGTAACCGTTAAAGATAAAGCCGAATCAGAAATCAAAGCCAATTGAAAAAAAAAAATTACCTGGTTCATACCAAACGGAATTACTACTCCCTTCGTCATACCAATCACGCTCGTTGATGGCGTCAATGGAGTATGCGTTGGTGTTTCATGGAGATGCGACGTTGGTGCTCAGATGCCTGGTATCGATTTCTGGTGGAAAAGAGGAACAGAGGTATCAATGATTTGAGGAAGCCGTCGTACTCTTTAGGGTTAGGGATGTTGGTTTTGTAGGGTTTAACTAATTAATGAGAGATTAATTGAATTATTATTTTTACCATAATTAGATATACTAAGTTTACCATTATACCATTTTTTAATTTATTTAATGATTTATTATTCCTGAATTCTCATTGGTGCATACATATACATAATAGTTGCTAGAAACATTTGAACCTAGCTCTCTCTCTCTCTCTCTATATATATATATATATATATATATATATATATATATATATATATATATATATATATATATTATATATATATATATATATATATATCAAAAGAAACATCATCTTTTAAGAATTTGTTTTTATGGAGTATAACGTAATTTCTAACTATTAAACAATTTTTGTTAGCTATGAGAGAATTGATTTGGTTTGACAATAACAAAATCAAACTGGAAATTTTGGTTTTTGACTTTGAATTTTTTGGTTTTTTTACTTGAAATTTTTTACTTTTGGTATTTTGGTTCGTTTCGTTTTTTTTTTCTAAATAATGGGCTTTTCAAATAAATAGTTTGGTTCGTCTTTTTTCCCAGACTACAAGAAAGCAAACCAAACCGAAATAATTTGTTTCCAATCTTTTTTTTGTTTAGTTTCTGTTTTTCATTTTTGTTTTTGGTATGGTTTTGGTTTGTCTGTGAACCATATTGTCCACCAACAAGTTTTATATAAAAATATGATATAATAGTTTTGCAAAGATATTCATGATGTATATTTAAATATAAGCATTATGATGTAAGTTTATTAACCATGTATTTGACAACAAGAACACCATAACTCTAAAACTTTATAGAACAAAAAACAAGAAACTAAAACCGAAAAGCTGATAATTTGTATACCAAAATTCAAGAACCAAAATTTTCAATTTGTTTTAATTTTAGTATAAAAATAATAAAATAATAATAATAAAATAATAAAAAATTAAAAAAAAACGAACCGTTCCAACTCTAGAGGTTAACAAATTTTGTTCATGGTCCAAAAAAAATTGTATTCTAGAAAAAAAATCATATATAAACCCTGAAAAATCGATTATTTTATTTTAGTTTTCTTTTTTATATATAAAATCGGAAAAAATGAAACGAACCAAAATATCAAAACTACATTGTATTTTGAAACTAAATATTTCAAATTAAAAAAAAAAATTCAAAGTCAAAAACTGAAATTTTTGGTTCGGTTTTCGTTTTAGTCAAGCCCGAATCAATTCTCACCAATAGTTGTTAACAAACTTTGTTTAATGGTTAGAAATTACTGATAAAAAAAGTTCTTATAAATGATGTTTTTTCTAAAATAAAAAATAAATAATATGAGTGGTTTCTTGAAAATTTTAGGAAATATGAGTGGTTTTTCTGAGAAAAAAAACATGGTTTTTTAGATAAAATATAACACCGTAAATTTTCAAACAAAATTTTTATTTAAAATCACATTAATCTCATTAGCACAATCACAAAAACCCCCAAAATATAAAGTTATCAAAACACATGTTCAAAATTGTTTATAACACAATCCATGATCCTCCAAAACATATCTCCAACTCATGTGTGTACAATCAAGCCGGTGTTTTCCCGTGATTCTGAGAAGTACCTGAAACACATATAATCACTACCATTATTTCTATCTTTTTGTTGTCGATTGGTGTTATGGGTCTTGCGATTCATACTAGTTCATATCGACCTATACTTTGTTGCTCATAAATTGAGTTTGATTGTATTGGTTGCAAATAAGTTCAATCCGATACAAATCCATGTTACACACTAAGGGGGTGTTTGATGCTTGTCTGTCTGGGTCAAATCAGAAGTTTTTCTGGACTCGGTCCGGATCAACTGGATCAGCTTGTTTGATTAGGCTTCTTTGCACTTCGAATTCGGTCAAAATCCTCTGATTCGGTCCTCAAAGAAAAACTACCTGACTCGGTTATTTGTACCAATTTCTCGTATTTGCCCTTCTCCTTCTCCTTCTTCTTGCCCCTCTACGTGACTTCTTCTTTCTCCTTCTTCTTCAATCCATATACAGCTTCTCCTTCCATCACCAATGGTCCTCGTCCTCTTTAATCGATTAATGAAATCGATTTTAAAAGCGAGTCATAATATCGATTTTGAAATCGAGCCTATTTCGGTAATATTCATGTTTGTAGAATTTGATTATTCTGGTTTTTCCCTAAGCATCGCCTCGACAGAAATGGAATAAGAAAGTGATTCGCTAAATTTGTTTTTCAGTTCGTTTTGATCGCAAATTTTGTTCCAATCGCTTCCAATTCAATGTTCCAGATCAATTTTATATTTGAATTGGCAATTGGTAAGGTAAGATTTTCTTGATGTTTTACTAGATTGTGAGTGTATTTGATAATATCGATTGTTGAATTGGGACCTTATGGTTTTTCTTTGTTGGTCTATTATCAATTGTTGATCTGTTTTCCATGTGAAAACTAAATCTATTAACAATGGAGTTGTGAATCAGTTTAACTATCAAAACATGATTCTTTAACATGCTTGTTAGATGTTTGTTGAAATGTTTGAATAAAATTGTTCACTTTCTAATATAAGTTTACTGTCAAATTTCATATTTATATTATTATTAGCTTCTGTAACTGGGGCAGAATTTTGGCTCACTTGAACAACTAGTTTGCAGAAACTTGTATGCATTTTAAGGAAACCACAAGGGAACATGCATGCATGAGGATCACATCCAGTTGGGGAATTAAATATATCAAGTTGCAGGATGTATAATTAAGGAGCCAAAGCCTAGCTTACAAGGGGTGGTGGTGGCTCAATGTGGTTGGTATGCTAATCACCACCTGATTGCTCATCATTTGTGATGGTGTTAGGAATTTGCATAATTAGGTGGCTTATAAGTTACGAGTGAGATAGAGTGTTCATTTTTTTAATATATAACTTATGTGTTTATTGGGTCGTATTTTATGATTGGTCAAAATAGTATAATTCTAATGAAGTGATATATTACATTGTTTGAGATTATTGCAAAAATCTTGAAAACATTTTCTTATTAATTACATAAATGAAATTAATGCATATGATACAAAAATTAAATTTGACAATTACAAAGTAATTGAGAAAATTAAAAAAGAATAGTCTAGTTTTGATATATATATATTATATATATATATATATATATATATATATATATATATAATATATATAACATAAGGGTAATATGGTCATTTTTTATCATTCATCACAGTCAGTCAGAGATATAATCAAACAACATGGTTTCAGTCAAATGTGGACTCAGTCAGAAGTTCTAACTCAGTCGGTACCAACTCAGTCAGCACTAACTCAGTCAACAACTATCAAACGACCCCTAAGTGATAAAAAGATATTGTTAAGGTTTCTTGAAAACATATTTATTTTATAAGAAACAGATTCACAATGCAGTCAAACTCATATATTTCAAAGGTAATCCCACGATTGAACAAGCACTAGGTGATGGTAGTTCACACGTGGCCTCAAAATGCCACATAGACATGATTTGGGTGGAAACCGGTTTAAACAAGTCATATGTCCTTAATAAACATGTTAAAGTGGACTTTATGCCCTTATAATGCAAAAAAAAGACCATTTAAAACAAAACTTGGTAGTTGGTTTGACTACAATAATATTTTCCATATTTTAAGTGTTTAATAGTTGGACTACAATGACATTTTCTTATATTTCAAGTGTTTGTTTGATGTTTTATTGTTTTTATAGATTTTGAGAAATCAAATATCTTATCAGGGAATTAAAAAAAAAAAGATAAAATTAATAAATTCTTTTGTGCCATTATTTTTTGATAAGTAGGAAATAAATAGAAACGAAAGATGAAAAATAATTAATTTTTCCACATAAATAGAAACGAAAGATGAAAAAGAATTAATTGCTTGGAGCCCAAGAAGGTTCTTTTATTTGTTAATATGGTTGTTTCCATAAAAAACCATATATTCTGACTTTTTTTTAAATCTATTTTTTTTTTCCGAAAAAGACTTTACTTTTATGTGTTACTTGTTATTTCAGACCTAGCAAGTCACCAATAGGTAAATTAGGTATTTTTGTTTCATAAAAGACCTTATATTTTGTAGTTGTTTCTATTTTAGACCTAAAATGTTTTTTTTTTTCAAAATAAACTCAACTTTAAAATTGGTTATAATCTTCAAGACCAAATATATAAGGTACTTCTTGACTACACGGAAAAAGAAAGTATACATGTATACACTAAAAAATGTTATCTAATCTATTATCTTTTGAGCGAATATAACCTAAAAGAATTGCAAAGTTTTATTTTTGTCTAAAAGATATAATTAAACTTTATCTTGGATATATATTATATCATTAAACTTGATATATTGTTTATAGAAAATGTTATTATTACCGCTAATAAAAAGTTTGATGTTAATTTAATATTTTTTGGTAACATGGATAATACATGGCTAAGAAGAATCTTTTAGCATAATAACAAAATTTTTTATTTGTAAAAAAAATAAATACCATATAATTTAACAAACTGTATACAAAATAATTTTTTTAGTTTGTCTATTAACTTATTTGGTCAGTTTGGACATATTTCCCTCTCTCACTTTTCTATATTATTTTTTTGGCCAAATTTTTGAATCAATTTTTTTAGAATAGTTAACAAACGCGTTCACTATCATACTCCTAAACCAAAGTCATATAATATTTTGTAGCATTAGCCCATTATTAAATAATATGTTATAATTATATCAAATAAATACATAAAAATATTAATCCTAAACATTCATATTAGTTTCTTTAGATATATGAGATTCAAGTTTGAGACTTTCTTAAAAAATGTTAACATCCCTGTTATTGATTCTTAAGGATAATCATAATAATTACCAAAATAAAATTTAAGATTTCATTTTAATTTGAAAGGATATAAACCACGTTTTTATGTATGAACGAAGTTAAGCTTCATTAAATCGGTGTAGTTAAGTACCTTATACAACTAGTGTTAAAGGTTGTAATCAATTTTAAAGTTGAGTTTATTTTGAAATAAAAAAACATTTTAGGTCTAAACTGGAAAAAAGTACAAAATATAGGGTTTTTTATAAAATGATTTAATTTCTCTTTTGGTAACCTTAAGGTCTAAAATAATAAATAATAGATAAAAGTTTGATATTAAAAAAAGTTTTAAGTCTAAAAAAAATCAAAATATAGGGTAAATAACCCTTGTTAATATATACTTTTTCTAAATTTAATAAATAAGTCGTTTTTCTTGATGGACAAGGAATCCGGTCAGGGTTTCCGCCATTCATAGTTGACGACTTCAGTCCGTCGGCGGCCCACTCATTTAACTTAACCCCCACCACAAATTCCTCCAATCACTCGCTCAATTTCGAGTTTCCCAGCGAACACTATGGCGGGGGAAATGGACTCACCGGCGGCGACACCAAGGACGAAGAAGTCGTTATGGCCTTCTGTTCTTCGTTGGATACCAAGCTCTACCGATCACATAATTGCCGCTGAAAAGCGCCTGCTGTCTATTGTCAAGTAATTAGCAACCGCCTTACCTTTCCTTATTTGCATTGTATGATTGTATCGCTGATTGTTTGCTTATTGTCTTGTTCAATCTATCGAAATACATAGTCTATTAAAAAATCATGTTTATTATACTTTGTTATATGTGTTTTTGATGATCATCCAAATGTTTTAGCCCTAGGATCGATGTGGTTGGTGTACATTTTACTGATTTGAACTAAACACTTGAACTTGAACTTGCTTATTGCTCAATAACACCTCTTCGACTTGCGATTGCTTGAACTTGATACTAGAAATTTTGAATCAGCATTTGTCTATCAAACAAACCAAACACTCCCCAAATACTAAGCGATTCATGTGGATACACAAAAAATCATGACAAAGTGACTTGAATGAACTTCCACATGTTACTTTCCATAATCGAGTTTGATGACTATAGCTATCTGTTACTTTTTATTTGATATCAATACAATCAAAATCATAAAGTGGCATTTCTATAATCTATTGGTTTCAAATTCCAGGACTTCATACACTCAAGAAAATGTCAATATTGGCACTGGTCCACCAGGGTCAAAGATCAGATGGTTTCGTTCTTCCAGCAATGAACCAAGATTTATCAACACTATTACCTTTGACAGCAAGGAGGATTCACCAACTCTTGTTATGGTTCATGGATATGCAGCTGCCCAGGGCTTCTTCTTCAGAAATTTTGATGCTCTCACAAAACATTTCAGGGTGATTGCAATGGATCAACTTGGGTGAGTTCAATATGTTGTGTTTCTCATCTTTTCCATTATACACACAACACATCAAATACTTCATTTTGGACCTTTAGAATGATATTTTTTTTAAATATATTTTATCTTTTACTTGAGCAGTTGGGGAGGATCAAGCAGACCTGACTTCACTTGCAAAAGTACCCAAGGTTGGTTGCGCTTAGCTTTTGAGTTCAATATGTTCTTATCTATGCAAAAGACGTAAATGCCCTCATAATAAAAAGGAACTCTCTGATCATTATCATAACTGAACCCTAAACCCTAAAACCTTAGTGTCTAATGGTTGTATCTCTGAATGATAATGCAGAAACTGAGGATTGGTTCATTGATTCCCTTGAGGAATGGAGAAAAGCCAAAAAGCTTGATAAGTTTATTTTACTTGGGCATTCTTTTGGAGGATATGTTGTATCTAAATATGCCTTGAAGGTAACTTTCCTGATAATAAATATTACAAAAACAACTTTCATTTCTCAAATCTAAATTACATTTAATCTCTAATGATTTCACACTTTTACCAAAATGAAGCATCCTGAGCATGTACAACATCTGGTTTTGGTGGGACCTGCTGGATTTACCTCAGAAGTTGACCATAAATCAGAATGGCTTACAAAATTCAGGGCAACATGGAAAGGAGCTGTTATGAGTCATTTATGGGAATCTAATTTTACTCCTATGAAAGTTCTCAGGTAATATAATGATTATAATCTTAAATTGCTTATTGATTGTTATATGGACATTGAATTATAATATTATATATATATATATATATATATATATATATATATATATATATATATATATATATATATAGCCTTGATGTGTGGAATTTTGTGATGCAGAGGTTTAGGCCCGTGGGGCCCAGATTTGGTCCGCAGGTATACAAGTGCAAGATTTGGTGACTATGCAAGTGGAGATGTGTTGACTGATAAAGAATCCATATTATTTACAGGTAATTGATTTTCTTTTTTACTTCAATCTGTTAAAACTATATACTATATGTAAATGTAATATTAATTTTGATTTCCTCCATTTAACTTTTTATGTAATAATTGATGTTGTTTTTATGAAGATTACATATACCATACTTTGGCTGCAAAAGGAAGTGGAGAACTTTGCTTAAAGTACATCTTTTCATTTGGGGCATATGCACGAAGTCCTCTGTTAGAAAGGTGTGATTATTTGTCTCTATTTACAGTTATTTATATATTGTCTGGAAATGACTTAATTACAGTTTTGGTCCCTGTAGTTTTTACTTTACGGAATTACACTTTTGGTCCCTTTAATTCTAAAATTAGGAATTTTTGGATTACAGAGCTGCGGAATGGAAAGTGCCAACAACTTTTATATATGGATTTGAAGACTGGATGAATTACCAAGGGGCAATAGATGCACGCAAGAACATGTCTGTCCCTTGTGATATCATTCGAGTCCCAAAGGTATGTACCTCTATTTTCTTTTCTATCATGGAATGGAATCACTCATTCCGTTACCCTGTCAATTCCATTCCTTTGTAAATGGTTTTGTTGATATGATTTCAGGCTGGTCATTTTGTGTTTTTGGACAATGCAAATGGATTCCACTCAGCTGTGTTACATGCTTGCAGAAGGTTTCTCACATCAGATCCTAATGCTTATCCTTTAGCCGAAGGTGTTATCTCCATCTAGTAAAATTTTAGTTTTAAAGTATTATTTATTATTATAATTATTATTATTATTATTATTATTATTATAAGTTTAGTTAATGATTTGTTTTCTTATATAAAATTGAAACGTAGATGGAGATTATTTTGTAGCCTTGGAATATTTTGACTGTGTATATAAACCCTTTTACCTGATCGGGTAAAATTGAATGCATTTGTCTTATGCTTTTTTGCTCTACAAGTCATGTAATATATTCTGACTCAACTCACATGAATATAGACTGGTTGAATCATTTTGAATTTCATGAATATAACAATTCACAACCACCAAAGATATTTCAAAATTTTCATATATCAAAAAGTATTAGAAATTTCTTAACCAAAATGTTTATTTAATCCTATATTTATGAGTTGTTATATTTTAAAAGGTTATCCTTTTTTTTTTGAAATTGATTATTTTGACTATCATGTTCTTATGTTGGGTGATGTTAATTTTGATTGGTTCTGCTTATATATATATATATATATATATATATATATATATATATATATATATATATATATAGGAAGGATCATTTGAGAACTCAAAATTTCCAGAGAACCCGAGAACTAAACGACGACCGTTAGATCAAATTAATTGAAAGTTAGGATGCTTTGTGGCATATTTGTAAATACCTAGTTGAAAAAATACACGGGGGCACCTTTTTGAAATCAAACAGGGGCATTTTAGAGATAACATAATCCATACCCCCTTATCAGAGTGAATCACGTCACCCTACCCTCTCTTTCTTCATCCCGTCTCTCTCTTCCTTTCATCCCACCTCCGACCGTCCACACTCTCTAATCTCCAGCTCGTCAACGATGAATCGAAGAATCAACAGATCGAAAATATGATTTGGATCGACAGATTGATCGAAAGTATTGTTCTGCAATTGAGAGGTGATGAAGAAGCTGTTGGAATCGATGATAGATCGGAAAGTGTTGTTATGCAATCGAGAGATGATGAAGAAGCTGTTGAAATCGATGAGTTTTGCACCTGTGTGATTTTTGTGAGAATGTGTCACGATCCTAGAGTATTACCTAATTCAATTACATCTGATTTGATGTGGAGGATTACCTAATTCGATCACTCCGTGCTCCTTTATTGGATGTCTATCTTCTTCCTTCAGTCGTCGTGCATTCATCACGTAGATCTATGTATCTCTCCTACATCGATTCGGTTTGATGACCACTTCATCTCCTTCCTTTATCTCAATCGACTAAAGTGTTCTCTGGATCTCTATATCCCTCCTACATCTGAGGTTCACTTCACTTGATCTCAATTGAACCGATCCGGATAGATTGTCAAAGAAGTGTACATCGGCTAGTCTTCTCGATGAAGGTGAGCCAAAACCCTAACCCGATCCACAATTTCTTTCTGAATTATGTATTTGGCATTGATATAATGTATTTAGGCATGTTCTGGATGTTTTGAATCATGATGTAACATAATTCTCAACTTCCTCACCAGTTATGTTGAAATAGTATCAAATTAGAGTTGTTCAGCATCAACTGTTATTGGCTTGTTGCTGTGAAAATAGTTTCTCACATAGTTCATGAAGTGGAATGATAATTAACATATTAAACATTTAGAATTTGGATACATAGGATTTTTTTTATGAAATTTCTGTATACTGATAGTTCAAATCAGTGTTGCAAAACTCGGCCTACTCGGCCGATTACTCGGAATCGGCCCTCCACCGAGGCGAGTAATGTCAACTCGGCCAAAAAACTCGGATTTAGTCAAAATCGGCCAAAAATCGGTCAAACTCGTAAGGGTCAAAATTGTCATAAAAGAGAAAAAAATCAAGAATTTCAAGATTAATATGTATAATGCACTTAATGATTTATTATTTAACACAAACATGTGATTATTACTACATATATATCTTAAATTTTCAGTAATTATCCACGTAGTGAGACAATTATGTGTATTCAGTTTTTATGTATTCACATGTATCTAATTTTGGTTATATATTTCAATCAAATTATGATTTTAACTTATGATTTTGACATATATAATTTTCCAAAAAATATTTCTACATGAATTACCGAATCCGAGTACTCCCCGAGTACTCGCTACTCCCCATTCGGCCGAGCAGGTACCGAGTAGCGAGTTCTACAACCTTGGTTCAAATGTCTGATCAAGGATCGTACTCATTATCATATTGCTAACCTAGGTTTGACGATATGATTGAAAACAGAATTTGGTGGTTGACTAGTCCATTTCCATTTTGACAGGAAGTTTCTTTTTCTGAATACAGAATCCATTTCACTTAGCTATGGGGATCGAATTGCTATAGTATTATATATTTTATTTTGTGTGTGTGTCTTCTTGAGTCACAAAAAAGAAACACAGATTCCCATTTAATCCATTTGTCAAGAAATATGAACTTGGCTATTAGAGATGCCAACTGGTATGCAAATGATAAGCAAGGAAGCAAGTCAAGGCCTGACTCATTTCAACCAGACAAAAAAAGAAGCTGAAATATTAATTCAAAAAGTAAAAGACTTTTAATTGAGAGTCAAGATGCTCTTGAGCTGCAATATACATGGGAGGGAGAGTATATTCACTGCCCGCTCTTCTAGGTAGCAATCAATTAAACATTTTTTTCTCATGTAATTATAAAAAAAAATTACTTAACCTGGCAATATTATATTCTTATATGTTTCAGGGAGCAAGAACAAGAATAGTGGGCTCAATGTGATAATTGTTCAAAATTATTTTATCCAACATCAAGCACTTGTTAATAATATAAAAAATATATGTGTAATGGGTTAAGTGTGAAAAAGATTGACAAGAAGTTGGAAAGAAGTCTCCTCCATTCATATCGAAAGGTGCCAACCTACATTTTTATGGTTGATTAAAAAAGGAACCATTACTTATATTAAGTAAAGCTCGCTTATTTGACTTTAATGTTAATAATCTTTTCAAGATTTGTCAAGTCTAGTTTCTGGTGAAACTAAAATATTGAAAAGTAATGCTAACACCCATAGGCAATAATCAATTACAAATAATATGTGATTTGTGTGAACTGATAAAATATTTTAGTAATTACATGTGATTCACATGTAAATTACATATGAATTACATGTGATTCACATGTAAATCACATGTGATACACATGTAATTTACATATGAATTGCATGTGATTCACATATAAATCATATGTGATTCACATATGAATTACATGTGATTCACATGTAAATCACATGTAATTCATATATAAATTACATGTGATTCACATGTAAATCACATATGAATTACATATGATTCACATCTGAATTACATGTGATTCACATGTAAATCACATATGAATTACATATTATTCACATATGAATTACATGTAATTCACATATGAATTACATGTGATTCACATGTAAATCACATGTAATTTACATATGAATTACATGTAAATCACATATGTATTTTTGTGAGTGTTTTTGCATCAATCATTATTTTTTTAATTTTTTTTGTAGATTTGGAAGAAATTGTGGTGAATATTGAAGAGGTGAAAAATGATAAATTGAAGAAAATAAGTAAATATTGACACGAAGACATGAAAACGCTTTGAAATTTGTAGCATTTTTTATTTTTTATATTTTATTTTGTATCAAATAAAATACTTGTACTATTATGTTTATAGATTAATTAATAAAAATGAGATTTTTTGTGATTTACTTACGAATATTATAGTATAAGAAATATACATATATGCATTTGAAAAAATATGCATATATGCACCTAAAAGTTAACTTTTTTTTTTTAAAAAAAATGCAATTTTTTTTTGAAAAATTGCAGCTTTTTTTTAAATACAGTTTTTTTGAAAAAAAATGTAACTTTCTTTAAAATACTTGCAGTTTTTTTTTTGAAAAAATTGCAGTTTTTTTTGAAAAAATTGCAGTTGTTTTAATTAAAAATGCAGTTTTTTTAAAAAAATTGTAGTTTTTTTTTTGAAAAAAAAAGCAGTTTTCTTTGAAAAAATGCAGTTTTTTTTAAAAAATTGCAGTTTTTTTGAAAAAAAAAATGCTGTTTTTTTTTTTAAAAAAATTGCAGTTTATTGAAAAAGTTGCAGTTTTTTTAAAAAATATCTTTTTTTTCAGTTTTTTTTTTCAAAAAATCATGTTTTCAATAAAAATTAAAAAATTTGCATTAAAAAAAAACGAAAAATACTATATTTAAAATAAATCTGAAAATTTGATTTATGATGTAAATTTTTAGACTTTTATATTAATATATCAAAATAACACAAAAAAATAAACATTAAATGAGATTGGTAAGATGACGATCATGTCCTTAATGAATTACTTTTGATCTAACGCTCCACTTTTAGTTCTCGGGTTTTCGGAAAAATATGAGTTCTCAACCGAATTTTATCTTTTAACACCAAAAATATTGCAAATAATATTTCAATTCAAACCCTGTTTTATTTTTTACTACCATTTCATATACGAAAAAGTATATACCATAGTATATTTTTTGTTTATAACTTATAACAATTGTCAAAATTTTATAATCTCTTTTGGTTGTAATGACATTATAAAATAACTTATTACAAATTATAGTCAAGCAAATTATTGTTAAATTACTACTTAGTATCAATTTAATATATAACGTAATATTATAATTAATAAGTTTTCACATTTACAATATATTTAGACATTTGTTATAAACTATAAATAAATAAATGTAAAACTCGGGGTGCTAAAAATAATACTTGAAAGTTTGACACCAAAATGTGTAAATGAATAGCATAATATCAAATTTGGTGTTATACTATTCATTCACGTCAAAATGGTGCAAGAAATGAAATGGTGACGGAGATGGATGTACATTATTTTGGCATAAAAAAAAGATATGTAATAGTAATGAAAATGCCCTTGTAATAAAGGTTACACCCAATGCGAGCCTACAAAACCAAGCAGTTGACACAGAATGTTTGGAAAATATTATCTAAGATTTTAACAAGCCTTCTATTAAAAAAATAGTGAAGA